TATGGAGTCTTGAATATTTATTTTATACTTTAGGTTATACTCCCATACTACTTTATTTTGTTACACAAATTAGTCATTGGCAGCTCTTTCAAGTTTGTTCTTCTGTCACTTTGACATAGCTTCATCATTGTGTGTTTTTGTTTGTTTGTTTCTATTTGTTTCTACTAAAGTAAGAAAGTAGCACTTTCTTACTTTTTCGCAGTATAAGATACTCCAACCTCATCTTGTATTTTTCCTGTCATAGTACTAGAATTAGCCATTTCTCCAAGGAACTCTGGTTCCTTTTATTTATTTTTATTTTATTTTATTTTATTTATTTTATTTCGGGAGAAATGCGAAACGACAATTTACAATTAACAACTTGACCAAATAACGAGAATACATATTTTTCTCCCTACATACAGCAGTTCAAATGATACAACACTAGACCTTAAAGAAACAGTCAACAGGCCAGCGTGGTGCTTACACCTGTTAATCCTAGCACTCTGGGAGGCCGAGGACAGGCGGATTGCTCGAGGTCAGGGTTCAAAACCAGGCCTGAGGGAGATGCAAGGTCCTGTCTCTCTATAAACAGAAAGAAATTAATGCGCAACTAATATTATATAAAAAAATTAGGGCGGCATGGAGGCACATTCCTGTAGTCCCAGCTACTTGGGAAGATGAGGCAGTTAATTGGCCAACTAATATATATAGAAAAAATTAGGCGGGCATGGAGGCACATGCCTGTAGTCCCAGCTACTTGGGAAGATGAGGCAGGAAGGATCACTTGAGCCCAGGAGTTTTGAGGTTGCTGTGAGCTAGGCTGACGCCAGGCACTCACTCTAGCCTGGGGCAACCAAGGCTGACTCTGTCTCCAAAAAAAAAAAAAAAAAGCTTCCTCACTGGCCCTCTGATTTGAATGTAAAGTATTAAAAACGTATTCATCATTAATAATTCTGCAAGCTTCTACAGACTTTAACAGTTCGAGATTGTCAACCTCAACGTTTATCTACTTTCTGGTAGGCATTCCTGACACGATTGCATGGAAAGGCATGAGAGCAGAAGGGGACTCTTCCAGCCTCTTCAGTTTACAGACTGGAACTCTGACGCTCAGCCCTCAGCCCTCCACGAGAGTAGGAGAACCAAGACTCGGGACCGACGAGTCCGCTAGGCTGTCGAACAGTATCTAATAGCAATTTATAGCTTCGGGTCCGGCCTGAGAATTAATACACTTGTCGGGTCTGTTGACTGCACCCTGGCGTCACTCCCATCCTGACTGGCCTGTGGGTTTGAGTCCCTTCCCTGCAGTCATGCTCAAGCTCTATCTCTCTGTCTCCGGGAGACCCCAGTGGGTTCGCTCTGATCTTCGTTTTGACTTTCCCGCTCCTCGCCCCCGGGCCTGGCCACCCCTGGTTCGCAGGCCCAGCCCCTGGCCAACCGTCGATTGGTCCGGCGCGTTACGTCACGTACTTTTAGCCCAATCAAATGGGCCGAGGCGATGGGCTCCGCCGCGCGAGTGCGGTAGCGGAGCCCAGGGCCATAAGCTTCCCGCCACCGGCGCCGCTTTGCCTCAGGTGGTTGCAGGCCCTGGGCCAGTGCCCAGCGCGGGCAGGAGGCCACAGGTGGGTCGGGTGCCGGAGAGCGGGTGGTGCTGGATGGGCTGGTGGGCTGGTGGTCCCAGCGGCGGCCACTGTTGGGCCGCTTCCCCGCTACCCTCCCGCCGGCCGCCTGCGCCTCCCGGGCGCGCGGAGGGTGGGGGCGGGCGCGGGCGCTGCCGGAGGTCCGGTTGGCTGCACAGACAACTTTATTAATTTGATTAGGTCCCATTTATTTA